CATGGAAGTCTTTTCTTCTTCTGATAAGGTTTTAACCAGATGTTTAACTTTCCTTCTGGACATCAGAGAGGGTGACTTTTGAATCTTCTGACTAGAAGTATCATGATCTGTCATGGAAGTCTTTTCTTCTTCTGATAAGGTTTTAACCAGATGTTTAACTTTCCTTCTGGACTTCAGAGAAGGTGACTTTTGATTCTGCTGACTTGAGGGATCATCATCTGTTGTGAGGTTCTCATCTTCTTCTGATAAGGTTTTAACCAGACGTTTAACTTTTCTTCTGGACTTCAGAGAGGGTGACTTTTGAGTCTTCTGACTAGAAGTATCGTCATCTGTCATGGAAGCATTTTCTTCTTCCGACAAGGTTTTAACCAGACGTTTAACTTTTCTTCTGGACTTCAGAGAGGGTGACTTTTGATTCTGCCGACTTGAAGCATCGTCATCTTTTGTGAGGTTCTCTTCTTCAGTTTGGGGCGTAACAATCTCCTGAGAGTTTAACCCCTGACTTGAACAAAAGGATGGTGTGGACATCTTACTGGGCTGTTTTGTTAGAAGGCGTTCAATGTCTTTTAGTGCACCCAATACCATTTCACTATGAAGTGGATCTGCGGACGACTCGGTCATGATCCAAAGAAAGATTTTCTCTAAAAACTTTTCAACAGCAGTTTCTGTCATACAATAAATGGCCTCAGGGGAATGGGTCCTGTGAGTTCCCACGGTTATCCCGATTTCAGAAATGACTGAATTTGACAAAATTTTACCAGGTGGTACGATGGGATGTTGGTACATTGGCTTTGTCATGAAATAGGAGTACAGCTTATCAGTTAGTTCTTTGGCAAACTCTCGAACTAAACTGCAGTGTTCGATATTCTCCAGTTTCTTATTGATTCCTTCTTTTGAGTTGGTCATTTCCGTGATTAGATGATGTAGTTTGTCATTCAAATAGTCAAAATCGATGCCAAATGTCTTCTTCTTTACTTGGGTCGTCAGTCTTTTCTGTGTGGGGGATAGGTCTGGTTCACAAAATGCAGGCCTCTCACCAGACGTAACTTTTAGGAGAAAATCTTCGTGTCTTTTCTCCATCGCTGTCATTAAATCGAGCAGCATTTTGTTAAAGTGTCTCCTGATAAATCTGTGGAAGGCAAATCGCTTCCTGTATTTCAGTACATCTTTCTGGAGTTGTGATGTCGCTCCGGGTTGAGTCCAAAAATAATCATTCACTTTATCAACAATCATTGCCATGTTGAGAAAGAATCCACGTGGCCCAGAGGTTTGAACAGATTCTGTAACAGCTTGGATGATTTTAGCTGCTGCCCACTGAACTGAATCAGAGGTGATGAGCAGAGAAGTGGGGGCTCCGGTACAAAAATCACATTTCTTTAAATCTTCCCAATACAGAAGGATTTCTCCGACGTCATTGGTCGTTAATTGTTCCGAAATGAAAGATGTTATGCTTTCAATTGTTTGATCTGTGTGATAATCACTCAGAACTACGTTGCATTTGGAGTAATTGCCCGTTAGTAAAATTTGTCTCAGGCATTTGGCAGCAAGAAACGTCATATTTTCAAGACGTTCTATATTGGACATGATTCCACTGACAAATAAGGCTGGTTTCGATGGCAATGTGTCAGTTTTAGTTGTTTCAACCAAAAGTGAATAAACTCGTTCTTCAATGTTGTCCTCCATCAGTTTGGTTAGTTTGTCAGCATCTGTGTAGTTAGCTTTTGGCCCATTTAGAAAAATGGAGAAACTTTTGGTTATTGAGTCTCCCAGGTCTGCTTTTACAGATTGAAGGGGTAAACGAGCATTTTGGTGGATCTGTGAAAGCAGAATCCTCAAAATAACCATGGACACACACTGTGTGACATCTGATAACATCTCTGCTAGTGAAGCTCGGAATTCCGAATCTAGAGTTCCACTTAGTAGAAAAGCCCACTGGGATGTTGTAACTTTGTCCAAATGTCTGTTCACAATTGGAAAGATCCTTTTCTTTGTGATTGAGATTGTCTCTTCGCTAGTTGGCGTCATCTCTAGTTTCTTCTGATTTTCTGGCATGGTGCAAAAAAAGCTGCTGTCTCCTCAGAGTGCATACAAGAAGTGAGGTACCTGCAAAGGTGGCCGAATGCCTTCTAAGACGTGCATCACAATGACGCAACAGACGCATACGTCACACAGATGAATTACCCCTCACCCCTCCTGACGTCTTCCCCAGCAGTGGTTGCCAGGGAGACGATAGGAATTATCACGTGATATATAGGCTAGAGCCGTAGGCTAGAGCTGTCCGGAGATCACGTGACCAAGAGAGGGGAATGAGGAGGAGCTTTATCTATCACAGAACAGGGACTCCCTTTTCCCCTAGAGGTATTCTGAATATTGTTTTGGGGGAAGACTACCCGTAATGTTTTCTTTTTTATCCTTCTTTATGCTCCGTTTAGCTCTGAACTACCGCTGCTTAGCAACGTAACAAACCCAAATAAACTTCCAAGGATTGTTGCTATGCGCCGAATTTGTGTGGGAAACCAGCTAACTCCTCAGTGAAGTTTAAAAGTAACACATTCATTCGGTGAATAAAGATGAAAGCCCACTGACAGTGTCGCTATGGAAGAGGTTTAAACAGTTTTTACTAAGCGCCCATGTCTCTCCATCTGTTATAAGCATGGCTGTACGGGTCTCCATTTGAGGATGGCGCAGCTCTCTACATCACGAGCGAGTACACGCAACCTTTCCGGGATTGGTCAGGGATGCCGGGAACTCGCCTCGTGACATGTCTGCCGGTATAAATACGGCGAGCCGATGTCCCGTGATGCAGTACTGGTGTATGAGAGGAAAATGTATCGTCTCGGCCAACAGACTAGCTTCAAGATCGCCTTCGATTTCTTTTTATCCACTGTGCCACGGGAACATTTTCACTTTACTAGACAATACAATAAAAGCCGGTCGTGTATTGGCTGATTTTTGATCAAGTATTACTTTAATCTGCACGAAAATGCCGAGGACCAAGAAGAAGAATAGCAGGAGTGAGTAAAACAGCGGCCTCCGTGCCTTGGCCTGTTTTAGTGGACGGTAGTTGTAGTTCTTTATGTGTTGTTATCCCATCGATTGTGTTTTGACGTGGTTACAGTCTGAACTACAAACGTTTGAAGCAGGCCTATTGATACACAGAGATAGCTAACCGCTAGCCACACAAAGCATATAATGGCTGTTTTTGTAACTCGCAAAAATACGTTGTTATGGTTGTATAAAGGTTTTTGTAGTCATTAATAACTGTAGTAAACGTGTAGCTAACAGAGAGCCTTAATTTGAATACCCGGCAAGCTCGCATCAGCCACTCCCTGTCCTTATGTTAGTACCCACGCGGTTGCTAGGTCAATGTTATTTGAATGTAAATAAGTAATGTATTTGAAAACGTAACACATTTATTTGCCGCTTTATAGAAGCTTCTATGTTTTTTACTGCGAGTATGAAACAAAAAAAGGGGGTTGAATCGAGTTTTAGCTAGCTTTAGCTTGACCTAAATAACGGTTAGACTAATTAGTTTTCACCGGTTATATTAAAGCTAGCGTTTGCTAACATGACATTATTGAAGAATTAGTTTGTTATTGTGAAGTTACTATCGTAGGCGTTTCATTCGGACATTTTGGACCGGCTTATTAAGAGGCGGAGCCCTGTTTTCGATATCAGCTTTCGGAAAAAGGCTCCACGTCAACAGATTGTAAACATGGCACCCAGCAATTCAATAAAATGGCCACATTAGGCCAAGGTGCCGTGTCAACAGACAACCTACCTGTTGTAGGTGTGGGATCTCATAAGCTACCTGACAAACTTGTCTTCCAGATGCTGGCAGTCTGGCCTGGTTTGAGTTTGACCCCCATCTGAGGTTTAGTTTACAGTCATCTCTCAGAGATACAGCCTGAACCTTTCACACCCGTTCAATGTGAAGATTGAACACTTGTTTTTACTTGGAATTTCCTCAACTTTTTCAAAGGACAAGACTAGAAACGTCCATAAGACTTACACAGTTGTAGATAGTAATAACTAAGTTCCTCTTCCAGAATGATGGTGTTACTTTGGTTTAACAGGTTTGACACACTTCCTGCTTTGACTCTACACCAAATCAGTGGCTGTTTGTTCTGAATATGAGATCCAAACGGGGGTCATTATGGCAGCCCGACACCCGTATTTCTGGTGTCACGTGTCGCTCCGACCTGACCGGTGTTTATGCTGTGAGTTTGCCCTGATAACATTTTCCTACCAGATGACAAAAGTCCATCCAGGATAAGCCAGGCGGCTGATTAGATAGCTGTGGTATTTGCGGCTGTACCTGTGCAGGGCTGGGGTTGCATAATCGTCTCGCGCCGACCATGTGTTCTGTTACCGTAATTGTGATGGTGCTGAATGGCTTCGTTTGTAGAGGGCCAGCATGGAGCTGTGCAGCCTTTCAGCGATGAAGACGCCTCCATCGAGACCCTCAGTCACTGCAGCAGCTTCAGTGACGCCGCCAGTGTGGCAGACGAAGGTGGGTTTGTTGTGTTGTTGTTTTCCTTGTGCTTTGGCTCCTGAGCGTCTTTGACACGGCGTCTTGCTGTGATTGCAGGCGCAGAGGCCAGCGAGGACACGGCCCAGGAGGACTTCCAGTATAAGCTGAAGGGGTTCATAGACAGCACTGTGGATAAGAGGTTAAAGTTCTTCTTTGTTTGAGATATTTAAATGCTATCTGAGCTTTAGGGCATGTTTTGACATCTTAAATCAAAATTAGTCATTCATACACCTTTTTTTTTTAAAGCCACAGTGTATTAAATATGTGTCATTACAAAAGCAGCTAGCTTTATTTAAGTTCATTAAAATCTTTAAGAGCGGTCTTTGAAAATGAGAGCTTTGAAATAGCTGGATCACTTGTCTGTCTTTAACTCGTTACCTTTCCCTTCAGTGCGAAGACCAGACAGGGCGCTTTGGACGGGCTCAAGACGGCCATGGCCACCCGGATCCTGTACGAGTTCATCTCAGAGAGGAGGATGACCATCACAGACAGCATCGAGCGCTGCCTCAAGAAAGGTACCCCCACTCGGAAACGGCTGCGTAACTTCAGAGGTCTCACAGCTGAATTCTCACAGCTCATTCCCACCCGCGCAGGCAAAGGAGAGGAGCAGCGAGCGGCCGCCTCTCTGGCCTGCCTGCTGTGCATCCAGTTGGGCTCAGGAATCGAGAGCGAGGAGGTGTTTAAGACTCTGAAGCCCGTCTTTAAAAACATCCTGGCGGACGGATCGGCCAACATACAAGCCCGGCAGGCGGTGAGTCGGACTGGAACTTTAAACAAAGGAGAAGCAGGCCTCACGTCCTTCAGCCCTCGCTGCTTGTTTGTGAGCTCTGTGTGAAGTTTCTTCTTCTCTTTTTCTGTCCAAGGTGGCCACGAGTCTGGGGCTGTGCACGCTTGTTGCAGAGGATGACATTTTGGTAAGTTCCTCACACTCACGGAGGATTGGCGGCCCAACGGGAAGCGTTTGTGTGACTCCTGGAGTGTGTTCTTAAACTTAAACGTGCGGTTTCCTTCCGGTTGGCCGGGTTTAGGACGTGCAGGCCACCATGGAGTGCTTTGAGAGCCTGTTCACGCGCTCGTACGCGCGGGCGGACGGGACCTGCCCCTCCACCAGCCCGCAGGCCAGCCAGCTCCACACCAACGCGCTTCTGTCCTGGGCCCTGCTGCTGACCATCTGCTCGGCCAGCCAGCTCAGAGCCGTCGTGCAGAAGTAAGAACGGGCCCCTTTCTCTCTAGTCCTGCCCTCACGTCTGCGGGATTGTTTCTAACGGTTCTGGTCCATGCGCAGACACCTGTCCAAACTGCCGCGGCTGCTGGAGAGCGATGATGTAAACATGAGGATCGCGGCGGGGGAAACCATCGCCCTGCTCTTTGAGCTGGCCCGCGACATCGAGCCCGTAAGCACACGCAGGGCTGACCAAGAGAAAGGGATTTAGAGTCATGAATGTAACACCTTTCTCCTCCTCCCTCTTCAGGAATTTGAATTCGAGGATTGGGACGAGCTCTGCGACAAGCTGAACGCTTTGGCCACCGACTGCAACAAGCACCGCGCCAAGACGGATAAGAGGAAGCAGCGCTCGGTGTTCCGGGACGTGCTGAAGGCCGTGGAGGCGAGTCCCCTTTTTTTCCCGGGTTCCCTTCGATCTCTGAGCCTCCATCCTGACGGGATTAACGTCGTACGGTTATTTATTTTCCTGCGTTAACGCTCTCCAGGAGGGCGGATTCCAGCCGGAGACGATCCGCTTCGGGACAGAGCGGATGACCATCGACAGCTGGGTCAGGAAGAGGACGTACGACGCCTTCCGAGAGTTTGTGGGCTCAGGGATGAATTACCACCTGCAGGTCGGTTTCCCTCTCCTGCTTTCAATCGGACAGGGTTTTTCTTTGTCTCCATATGTGACCGACCTGTCCCCCGTCCAGGCAAACGAGTTCATCAGGGATGTGTTTGAGCTGGGACCACCTATGTTGGTTGATTCAGCCACAATGAAGGCCATGAAGATTTCTCGCTTTGAAAGGGTAAGCGTTCCCACCTCTGTGTGTGTTTTAGACTCTTTTTTCCTCATAAGAAGGCCTCTAACGTGCTCGCTTTGGTCCCCAGCATCTCCATAACTCGGCGGCGTTCAAGGCCCGGACCAAGGCCAGGAGCAAGTTCAGAGACAAGAGGGTGGACGTGGGAGAGTTCTAATATATATTTATTATTTCATTTTTGTTTCTTTTATCGGGCCATTTCTCAGGCCTCCCTGATTTTGTAGGTAGTTTGTCCTCGTGCTCGTCCAGCAGAGATGTGTACTAAACACCCACTTCCTGTAGACCTGTAACCGTACGTGTAGGGATGTGTATTCTTCTTACAGATGAAAAAGACAGTAGAGGTCCAAAGATAACCGTGTGGTTTGTTTTATCGGAGGGGATATCCATTATGTCATTTTTTTCTTCCCCAGAAAAATTTAATTTATTAACAATTTCCATAATTTGTCTTGTTACATGTATTTTAGCTTTGATTCCCATTGTGACCGACCTTTGGAGTTTATATTAAGTTAGACTAACTTAGTGGATTATTTATGTAAATCTGAATATTGTGTTTAGTGGCTGTATGTATATACAATGTCTATGACAGCAATGGTGATGGAATAAACACTGGAAAAGGAAACATTTCTCATTCTCCTCCACTGTTCTGAGTCTATTATTATTGTCCCGCTATAGCTTCACCCACCGGGTACAAATAAACTGCATTTGTACCCGGAGCCACGAGGCCATTCTATCGTTCCTGGAATACAAATTGAGAGGTCATTATAATGAATTCCCGTTTCTTTAAAGCAGGGTTCGAAGAGTCTGCTCTGGAAGCATGTTGTTTCTAACTTCCCCCAGAATATCTGAAGGCTTTTGTTCTTTTTGTGGTTGTTTTTCTCAGAGCCTGTGTTGCATTGTTGTGTGCCAGACCGGGCTGTAATCTCCAGCCCTCTAGCACCGCCCAGTGCAACAGCAGGAATCTAATTTAAGAAGTAAATTAAATACAAGGAACCCAGGAAATCCTTTTCTTTTATTGCTCTTCCTGTCAGAACCAAGAGGCTGCACAGATCACATTTACTGATATTCAATCCTGGGAAATGTGATCGGATTCAAGTTAGTGTCACTTTTCCGTAAATGGGCCATTTCTAAAGGTAACAGATTTTTCTCTTCATTCCAAACTTTTGTTAGAAAACAGACACAGCTCTAAAAACACACTGACACTAATCAGATATAACACTGTTATTACTCCACAGTGGGACGACTACAACATTCATCAAAATGAACGATTATGGTGCTCAGGTTTCTGCTGATTGGAGGATTTCGAGGACTGAATTGGTCATGAAAATTCAGACCTGAATTAACTTAAATTTTCATCAATAAATGGGCAAAACTGAAACAATTAAACGTAAAAAGTGCCATTATTAAGGAGTCCCAAATGTTTAAATCAGTCTTATTTTGAAAATCCCAATCTCATAAAAGTTGGGACCATATTTAAAGCTCAAATAAGAGAAAAGTTTCACCACAGACGAATTTTCGTTTCATATTTGAACATCTAAATTGATTGGAAATGACATATTTTACTCTGACTAATGGAGGAATCATCTGTTGTTGGTTCAAACCCGCAGCAGCTATCACGTCAACATAAACATACCCCCTCTAAATGCTGATATAACGCTATAGGCCTCGGCTTCAGTGTTGATCGAAAACAAATTTCCTTCTGTGTAGATAAACGCTATCATTTGATGAGATCGCCCCTATCTGGGCTGCAGCAGGCGGCCAGGTAGAAAGGCATGTGGATAATGTTAATGGACCATTGTTATTATTCGCAATTCATCACGGTCGCCTTGTATTCAAATGGAAAACATTACGGTGCAATTAGGGAGCGTGAAAGGGGATCAAAAGAGCAACAGAGCTGATGAGGCTTCTTCTTTTTAATCAATAGTTTGCTTCATTTGCGTGTTGCGGTGCTCATATCTCATTTCAGTGGACTTTGCAGAATTTGAGGAGAAAGAAAAATGCCCCTGACATTTCTCATCTTTGGTCGATCCTTTAGGAGTTTTTTCCCCCGTCGGAAAATAATCAATATTCAGAAATTTGTAATGCTGAGAACGAGCGTCTGCAATGTTTGGGTTGAGTTTCCAGTCAGTGTGCCACACAAAGACAGCGAAAAACAGCCTCGAGCAAAGCAGCCACACACACACTCACGCACACACACCGTCTCCAGATGGAGGCCTCTCAGTGGTTAACCAGGTTAATGTATTTATTCCACTTGTGAGCTCCAGGCGCTCCGGCAGCTGTTGCTCTGTCACCCACCGGAGATCCGCCTGCTTCTTCGGAAATGTGTGATGTTGACAATAGAGTGCCACATACCTAAACTCCCTCCCCTCCCCTCCCACCTCCTCCTTTTCCTATTTCCTGCATCTCTTTTTTTTCCTCCTGGCCCTCCTCCCTGGAGCAATGTGTACACAATAGCTACCACAGTGAAAAATGGATAGTGAGATTAGTGGTACTTTGTCACCGAGTGGATGTGTGTTCTCCATCCCAAGACGCCCAAACGGGCTTGTTGTGACTGATAAAATGGCTGCTGCCTGCATGACCGCACAGAAATACAGCAAGCTGGCTGCTCTCTGGACCCTTTTGGGGAAAACCGAGAGCTGTCTGAGGTTTTTGGGCTCCCGAAAACGATTTGGTTTCTTTCTTTCCTCCTCTCCTTTGGTCAACTCGGAGGAAAATCCATTCAGCATCTTTGGCTCCCCCCCCCCCCGTGCGGTTGGTCCCCGGGGTGGGGCCATCATCCTGTATCAGATCAGCTGTGGGTTCCTGTTGGCTGTCGGGGTGTTTTTGTCTCAGCCCGTCTTTATTGGTATTGAGCGCGGAGCCGCAGCGTTATCACAGTGACATGTTTTATTTAATCTGAGATACTGCACACATTACAGAATCACCGCGCTAACCGATGCTCCACAGAGTCGACTTCTTTCATCAACAGTAAAACAGGAGAGGAAAGCACAGGATCCCACAATAGCCATTATTCCTGCTTTTCCTTTTACTAAACCTCACATCTGAAGTGTTTGATCCTGATCAGAAAACAGAATAATTAATAAAAGGATGGCAGTCTGCAGCTAAATTCTGAAAATCTCAAAACTCCCGGGTTAAAACGATCATGATTCTGGTTAAAAAGATCAAATAAAAAGCATATCCTGCTCATTTAATTGGAAATAAACTGTATGAACTCGTCCATAGTTTTAGCTAATCTGTTAAAAAAAGTTCCAAGGTGCCAGTTTTACAAAATGTGAAACAGTTCTCTTGTTTTCTTTCCAACTCCTACAAGAACAAAGGAAAACACTGTATACCGGACAATAAATCAATAGATTCAGTTGTACAACAGGGTGTTGAGTGTGCTACATGATGATGTTTAACTCTTAATCAAGAGGCCTTTCTGTTAAATTCCTGCAGGGTCATACGGGATCTAATCATCCTCTAACATTAGAAACCCTTCCACCGGTCTAGATATGGTCCTTGGGACAAAAATGTCTCAAGTAGTGTCTGGAAATGAAAGTAATGATCCTGTCTCCACATAAAAATACCTGCGACTTTAACTCTTCAAACCTCACGACTGGTTCAATTTGAGATTAGAAGATTTTGAAACAGTTTGAAAGGCAAAAATACAAGATTCACATGATAAAGTATTTATCTAAGCACGTCTACAATAATAGAAAAGCCACTAAAAGGTTAACGTGCTTCATTAGGAAAGCATTTTGCCCGAGAAGCAGCTGGAATCATTCGGATTTGACCTGAAACTGAGCCATATTTGTATTGTGTCTTTGTGGAGCGGGAGGGAGAAAAAACAAGCTGAGAGTCTCCCTCAAAGCTCAGCTCCCTTTGCTTCTTTTGCTGTGAACCTGACTGAAATGTCACCGCAGCCTTGGAAATGATGTCAAGGTGAGTGTAACTCCTCTTTTCACCAGGGGGGGGCGCCTGCTCACCACTTAGCCGTGAGCCCCATCCCATAAAACGCTGCTCATCACCTCTGTGCTCCTAAAGGAGCAGAACTGATGACAGGGCTGTCATTCTGAGGAAAAACACCATGCCATTTAATCACGCGCATTGCTAAAATAAATATATAAATATAAATGTATATCAAAAACCCAACCTTAACCCTAAACCTTTCTTGTTCTGACCACCTCAGTGGTCTGATTGGATGACCCGGGCTCCAGATTTATGGGTCACGACAATGACATAAGACGTCCGGCCCCCCGAATTTCCTCCGTCTCATTCATCTCTGAGAAAAAAAACGGGCTGAGCCTGGCCCCCCCCCCCCCGCCGTGCAGAGCTCACACCATATGGAATGTGGTTGTAGACTTGAAACAGAGTCAAGCGGTATACGCGTTTTTTGTCGTGCTGGGCGCAGATGCATCGTGGCCCCCACGCTGCGTGACTCACAGCTAACCGTACGCTCACACAAACACACGCATTCTGGTGCACGTGCACGCACAAAAAACAGGGCCGATGCTTTAGACACACTCAGAAAAAGCCGCCATATGTCTGGATGGACCTTTACCCAAAGCCAATGCGGGATCTCTCTGATCATTACAGCATTAGACTGTTCTTCCTTAATAAATGGGGTTAGCACATTTATTCAGAAAGCTAACATCTGATGGTTTAATCTAGGAGAGGCAGATGCTTTAGCTCTGACTCACAGCCTGAGTCACAAGCGGCACCTCAAGATAGCAGGCTTCCCCCTCCCCGTGCTCTCCTCCTATCTTTCTCCTTAAAATTAAACCGCTCAGACAATGCTAGAATGATTGGACGGCGACTTCACAGCGAGTTACAGAAACGCAGCCCGACATCTGACAGCTAGACAGAGCTGATGGGCCAGAGTTTGTCAGTCAGAATGAGGCTAAGACCAGGAGATGGTCATCTCAGGCTGCTGACCGTGAAGCCTAGACAGGCTTTTTATACTTTTGTGCAGGTGGATTAAGCACATAAATGTTGTGAGTGATAGTTTTGGGGGTTTGAGAGAAATGCAAAAAAAGGAAATGAGATAAGTCAGTGCATAGCATTTAGAAAACTAGGAGGAATATGAGGTGGTGAGGATTCATTCAGCGCATAGAAATAATCACAGCTCCCTGTGTGAAGGTTAACGCCACAACTGATAGGAAAAATAAACACACAGACAAAAAAGACACTGTTCTATGTCCTCGAGCTCCTCTTTTAAAACACAACGACCGCTTTAGAAAATGCCTGTCCATGAGGTCCAAGGATTTCTCGTCTGAATGCTGGTGAAGGGGAACCAAAAAATTAAAACCCAAAAGACAACTGACGACGATCTTTGTCTACTCTGGAAAGCAAAATTTCCCATTGGCCATTTTTTGGTACCGCAATGTGAACATCATCCTCTAAATTCTAAATCTATACAGCCTGTGTAGTCTGTGTGTCAGATGGTGTGTTGCACCTTTATAGGAGACCGAAATAATGAATTCATGAAGTCATCAATTAATCTGCCACTCATGGGATGAAAGCAGCCCTGCCTGGTTCTCAGCGGATCAAAGCGGCCGTGTGACACGCCGGGTTTACAGAGAGGAGACTCGTTTTACGGGAGACTTTATGAGCCGCACAAACGCACACTTTTCACTCCCACAGATGTTAAGACAAACC